CTTCATTCTTTTTTTCTATCATAATAATAATAATATAAAGACATTTCTCTATAGACAACATACGAGAAAGAAAACACCTAGACTGACATGCATACTAATTTTAACTTTCTAGTATTTTTTTTTCTCGTTCTTTGGACAGAAATTCTCGATTTCCATTAGCTTATTTCAACTCATTCTTTTTCTTTGAAAAACAGGTAAATACATGCAGTCGGGCACAAAAGTCTAAGTGACATTAGTTTTTCAGTATTTGGTTTTCATATTATGAGATACAGGTTTGATTCAAATGATGATAAAGATAGTATGAGAAGCCAACTACATGATGTATTATAGAACGAGGCTTCATCTGTCTAATTATATAGAATTTTCATAATTGAAATAGTTTTTTTTCTGTGCAAAAAAAATTTAATTGCCTTTCAGTATTTTACATTTCCTAAATGACAGATTTAAACTAAAATGACGCAAAACTATATTAATCGATAGAGCATTTGATTCTCTATCAATTGATAAAAAAAGATTTTTTTTTCAGAGTCGATCTTCACCTTCGAAACTTGGTTTTAGTGAGAATAATCAACATTTTTCTCTCAACAAAATAGTTAAAAAAGAAAAGCTGGTTGTGTTCCTCAAAACTTTATTTCAATAAGATAGCCGTGAAAAATCAATGATATTCGAACTTCAAATACAATATTTTGTTCAGCTTTGAATGCTCTTTCCAATGGTGTATAAAAAATTATAATAAGATGCAGTTAATTCACTTGTTTCGTTTTTGCTGGCTATTCTCATTAAAACCAAGTTTCAAAGTTGAAGATCGACTCTGGAAAAAAATCTTTTTTTTATCAACTAATAGACCATCAAATGCTCTATCGATTAACATAAATTTGTTTCATTTTTTAGCTTAAGGCTCTTACTTAGGAAATGCGAAATACTGAAAGGTACTTAAACCTTTTCTTTTTTGCATAGAAAACAAACTATTTTAATTATGCAAAACCTATATAGACAGATGGAGTCTCGTTCTATAATACATAACGTTGTTGGTTTCTCATACCGTCTATATTATCATTTGAATCAAACCCGTATCTCATAATATGAAAACAAAATACTGAAAAACTAATATCACTTAAATTTTTGTTCCCAATTGTAGATCGCCATGAACGTCAGAAAAAGAAGTACAAATACAAATATACTAGAATATTTAAAAAAATAAGAAGAAGACCCAATGACTTGTTTTGTATATGAAACAGAGACAGAATTTAGCTATTGCAAGAGCCAGCTATATCAGTTTCTTTTTTTCTCCACTATTCCTCGGTGTATTAGAAGAAGAATGTTCTAAAACCATTACTATCAAAGCTATTTAAAGAAATAAATTTCTTTTATTTTAGTTTTACTCTGATTTTATCAGCAAGTGCAACAATCATTTCGATTTCTTCAAACATCACATTCATGACAGTAAGTATGAAAGCATTGTAACCGTATGAACAAGGTTGATTCTTAGAGCAAGTTTAAGTATTCAAAGAACTTGATTCAGGGTATGAATGTAGATGCAGAGACGATCTATCCACGTCTATTCTGAAATAAAATTCTAATTCGCTTGAACACAACAACATATCTCAGGCACTAATGTTGAATTACAATTTGTGGTTAAGAAATCGGTAAATTTTCTCCCGTTCTTTTCATGTTTGTGATAACATTCAAAAGTGTACGTGCCAGTATTAATGAGAAAGCAATGTCAAACCTAAGTCAAGCTTTGTCAAAAGACAAAAGTGTGTACACATTAATATTACTTTGAGAAAGATCGTCAAGTTCATAGCAAGCAATCTTTTCTCTTTCCTAAAGCTTTGCATTCATTACTTGAAATATTTTAACAGCAAAGTTTAAGTAGCTTTTCTTTGAATTTTGGAGTTTTTCTCGATTTTTCTTTAGTTCAAAATTAAATAATGACTAGGATGAAAACACTGACAAAAATCAATGGATGCCTATACTTTTTACTTTACTTTATGCTTTATCTTTTCATACTGAAATATATGATATATAATGTTTTGTAACATTTTTAATTGGAATAAGCTAATTCATTAAATTAATAATGAATAAATTTTCATGATAAATGTATAGAACTTTGCTGAAAGAATAAGAGAAGAATTTTTCAGTTGATGTAATCTTTCACAAAACGAAATTATAATCACTCTTTTGTTTATTCATTTCAATGGAAACGTTTCTTTCACTTTCGAACTGAACAATAGATTTGATTCAGTTTTCGTAGAAATGTTCTCCAGAATTGTATTTTTGTTACTTTCGAATATTCTACAGATTAAAAGTAGATTTTAACCAAATGTTTTTCATGATAGGACTACATGGATAGTTTGTAGAATTATATGTTATGTACTACAGAAAGAAAATTCATTCATTTCTAAATTGAGATACAATAAAAAATGGATTATTGTTTCTTTAAAAATCAAAATATTTATACTGCATTTAAGATGTTTGATGAATGCAAAGTAATCGCGACGGAAACCATACATCAAAAATATGGTCAAATTGACGAGGTTGAATATGATTATGATGAAAATGATCATGGAGAAAGTAAAAAATATCATATAAAGTGGTCTCGACAAGAATATGAACGAACTGCATCGAAATTCTACAAACCATCAATGTCCTATGAGAAGTTCACAAAAGTATTACGAACATTTATGATGGGAAAGTTTGCAGTTGAAGATATTCCGGAAGCATTTCGTCTCCTTGATTCTGACCATTCTAACAAAATCGATATCACTAAATTACATGAATTTGTATGTGTCATCTTACCAAAAGCAAATCCATATTTACTTCTTCATCAAATACAAAAGGCTGATAGAGATGGCGATTATAAGCTGAATTTTGATGAATTCACATCATTCATCGAACAAGGCTTCGGTCGAGAGGTATCGCTTGGATGTTTATAAAAAACTATAAAACATTTCATTTATGTGTCCTTAGTATGATAATGGACTATGAATGTACGCTTGAAAAACGAAATTGTAGTTATGTAGTGCTGTTTGTCTCGCTTGATGTCAATGTAAATTCAAAATAAATGGCTTCAGTGATTATGTGAATGTTTTATATGCTTGGTTGGGTGCGAGTATGGCTGCTAGTCTTTGGTGAAGGAAGATTCACATCTCAAAGAAAACTTGCCTGTTTTCAACCTTAAAGAAAAAGGTTTGTTTTGAAGAAGTCACTCGTTGTTTGGTGAGTGATAGTATGTATAGTTTAATTGCTTTTTTTGGTGTTCTCATCTATGTCAACATAAGCGCTGATATTGAAATAGGCGAAAAAGAGCTAATAAACAAAAGTATACTCTCACATACCAAACAACGAGTGACTTGTTGGATGTTGATCTAATATAAGTTCAAAAATTCATTAATTGTCTTTCTTAGATATTTGTAAAGTATCACATACAAGAATGAATGAAATTTACAACAATTTTGAGGTTTGCTTTACTAAAACTTGAAAGTTCGTTATCATTTATAGTACAGAGGTGCTAGTCCAATAAAAAATAAATCTAATTTCAAGATTTAACTGGATTTTGTTGTCGCAAAACTCCTAATTGAAAACGTAGTCGCATAGATCAGTATTTTGCTGTAACTTTTTTCATGACTAGGCTGTGAGTGTGGTGTGTGTGTGTCTTCTATTCACTGATGCTCACACTCATACCCTAACATGATTAGCATTATTAACAAGTCATTTTGAATAAACAAATTCTAAATGATTAGTCAAGGATCTCTTCAGTGTAAAAACATTGAAGGGTGTGGGTGTGGGTGGATGTTGATAGAAACAAACCCACACCCACACCCCATCTTTTAGATCTTAATAAATTTTCGAATTGTGGTTTTTTATTCATTCTTTACTCCGTTGCTTCTGAAATTCGATATAGTACAGAATATTTTGCTTTCGAAAGACAACATTACTTGTTTTTTACAGAATGCGGTGAATGACCTTAGGATTAAGAGAATACATGGCTGCGCAATCATTCATTTTTTCAATCATACTATACGTTTGATTTATTTTTCTTTCCAACTTTACTTGAAGGACGTTTTGAGTAAGTAGATGAATAGGTGCAGGAAAATATATCTATGCATAACATGGCCAATGTTGACTGGTAGATTAAATGAAGGTCGACGCGACTTGATTTCTTTGAGATGGTCTACTTTTCTTCATCGTTGATCCCGTTCTCCGGTTACTGTTGCCAAAAATCAATCTAATCAGGATTTTACTATTCAATTTGGTACTGTTCATTTGTCAGCATAGCATTAAGCTCACACAATCGATAATGGACAACCCATTCGTAGATTTTTCTCGTACCCACAATTTTTGCCAGTGTACTTATATATGTTTTTATTTTGTAGCACTCTTAAGAGCTTTATGCTTTGAATACCGATTGTGAAGGCCGCAGCGTATGCAATCGATACTACCAGAAAAACAAATTATTATATTTCTGAGTATCGTATAGTAGTGATTGGATGAAATGATTAAATTTTATTATTCTGTAGTTATTTTGTGGTTGTCTTTTGGCTTGCCTAAATATTTAATTTAATATTTATTTGACTGCGATACGACGTTTTGTAGTAGTGTACAACCTCTTCAGACATAATTTTATATACACTTTTACAAATAGTCTAATGTTACATCTTTGTTCTCTTTAAATGTATGTACATGTATAATTATATATTCGAAGTGTATAGTTTAAATTCTAAAAGTGTATATAACATAAAAATATGTCTAAAGAAATTGTATACTACAACAAAACGTCACAATATTTTCAAAAAAACATTGGATTAAATAAAATATACTATGTTAAATTAAATATTTAATAAAATGAGAAGAGACTTGAAAAATAACTACAAAATAAATCCCTCCTCCTTACCAAAATTTGTATTGTTATTATCGTAGAAAGTTAGCTTATCTCTAATAATAACTTGTCTGACAGTGAAAGATTCTTAATGCCCACTCATTCAGTATGTCTTGATTTAATGAATTATTTGCATAGAATCTTCATAGGTGAAAAACATTTTACAACGACCACTTTTACTTATGTGATCGTAGGGGGTGGACCAGCTGGTTTATCGGCTAGTTATGGATTACACCTACACCATGAAAATAACTATTTATTGATTGATAGTGGCGATAGTCTATCAGATCGTATACAATCCAACGATAAAACTCATCTTGGAGGTATTGGTGGAGCTGGACTCTTCTCCGACGGTCATTTTGTATTCTATCCAGCCGGTAATAGATTATGGTTGCTTGATCAAGAATCCTTGAGAATGAGCTATCATCAATTAACAAAAATGTTGCAAGGCATTCTTGTCATACCATCTTTTCCACACGATCTTAGTATTAAATATGCCGGGCAAGTCACAACAGTCAACACTATTTTGGGCTGTCACGCCGATATGGCATTGAATATTGTGACGTCACTAGTAGCTTGGTCTGGGAACACTGAAGGCAGTGACGAACAAATTGCTATTAATGCTGAAAAGAGAGAACAAAAGAAGCAATCGGCTTTTCATTTAACACTCGAACAGCGTACGGCTCTCATTACTTCAATTTTACAGGCTATTAAACCGAATCAGCTATCACTGAACACTAAATTGTGTCGGATCGAATCGACAGCAGATAATACTTATATTTTACACTGTACAAAGAATGGTGATCATATTGAATTTCGCTGTAAAAAAGTCATTCTTAGTGGTGGTCGATTTTTTCCAATAGTTTCCCAATCGTTTCCTGTGGTAAAACATATTTTCAAGCAAGTAGAAGTTGGCGTACGCATCTGTGGTCCGGCAACCAATAGTTTATTTTCGAATGTAACACAAGCCATCTCGAAGGTTATGACAACAGCTGATACCAATCTGGAATATCGAACATTTTTCTGGTGTCGTAATGGAGAATGTACATGGGCTGAACAAGACGGAATAGCTGCCTATTATGCTTCGTCTGAATGCATGCCGACATCGGAAAGTAATTTCGGCTTCACTGTTTGTTTCAAAAATAGCGATGCTCAAAAATTTCTAGAACAAATTAAGAATACACGTCCATTCGAGCTATCACTTGCTGAATTGGACAAACTGCATGACATATATGGTGATGTCGGTACTCATATTGCTACAGGCATTGAATGGTTTCTCGGCAATTTTATTAAAGATTCAAATTTAGATCGGCAAATGTTTACACTCAAAGGACCAACGGTAGAAGCTGTTGGAGGCTATCCACTATTGGACCAACATTTGAAAGTACCCGGAGAAAAAATTTGGTATGCGGGAGACGCCACAGGTCTATTTCGTGGAATTATACCTTCAATGTTAAGTGGTCTATTTGTTGTGAATCGAGCTGAAAATTTCGTCTAAATCAGTAACTGAACTCTCTTATTCTATAGGACTAACAACATTCAGTTTTTCGATGTATTTAATTACAATAAATGACGATATAAAATATAGATACTTTATATTTTACTTAAGAAATTTGATAAATGTGGCATCTCTCTTGTTGCTAATCAGCAATGCTCTACATTTCTTTTTTATGAGTCATTGACATATAAACACAATATTTTTCATATTGTGGGCATGTGAATTTGGGTACCGACGACGTCAAAATCAACATCCGCAGTCACCAAATTCAGTCAAAAAAATTTCAGACGACTAACTACGGGTTATTTCATGTCGCAAATTAACTCGTGAAACAAAGCATAGAGATATAGTAATTACGAAAATTCAATGTCATACTATCCGAACACTGATGTTACTTCGAGAAATGTCCCTTTATTCTGACAATACGTATATGTTGTAGTAGAAGCACAATTATAATTTCAACATGGTGATACATCTGGGTGTGGGTGTGAGAGTCCCATTGATACACTGCCACACCCACACCAAAATTCACACCACACATGTCGCACCCAGACCCACGCCCAATATTTCCTGGGATCTAAGAAGAAAAAGAATCACGAACTCTTATCTTTGTGAACATATCTTAAGAGTATAAAACGTTATAACAGTATGAGGCATTTTCAGGTATATTCAGTTATCAAAGACATCTGAATCTCTCTCATTGATACACTGACGGAAAAGCTATTTATTGATAGTTGTAATTAGAATATTGAATGTTATGCAAGACTCGTACATGCAGGATCCCGCCAAGGCACGAAATAATCTTGCTTTGGTCAAATTCAAACACAAACAATAAGTGGTTCAGTAAGATGTAGTTCACTAATATTCACCTTAATCCACACTTCACACCATGAAAAAAAACAATATTTCGCTGAATTGTACAATGTGAGATGCTTTCTTATGACAATCGGAGTTATTTCAAATATTCTTAATCAATAACCCATCTCCTAAACTGTGAGATTAATATGGATCCATATAATTCTCCTAGATAGGTTACACCGTCACAAACAAACTTTATCCTATACTTAGTGAAGTAGGATAGTGCCAGGCAACATTAAATGTTATTCCAAACATACTCATTTTTTCACCGATCTTTAGGATGGCGACGAGCAAATCAACGCAGCTTAGTTTCCGAGCTGATGACAGAAGTAGTAATGAATATTATCTTTGCCTAAAAAAACTCACATTTTTTCTTCTTAGGCTCTCAATTATGGCATCCAATATCGCCTTAGAATGAGCGTAGATGTGAAATATGAGTATAGACATGCGCTGGATCTGGACTTTGAATATACATCCTCTCCTCGCTCACACCCCCGTTATTTTTCTTTTCTCTTGTTCCTTTCTCTTATTCGATTTGTTTTTTTGTTTTGTCGTGCGGCGTTCGTCGTTCGTCATTTTCTACTTCCTGTGTTATTTTCTTCAAACGCTAATAACTCTTCGTATTTTTTTCCAATTGTCATTCTCCATTTTCGGTTTCTTATTCATTCTTCATTCATCGTTCTTCATCAGTTCCTTCGATCTTTATTTTTAAATTCAACCCATATCTATTAATTCCTGTACAAAATCAACCGATAATTAGTTTTTAAAATCCGCAACGTCGAGAACGAATTTATACGACCAGCTATTACTGCACAAAAATGTAAGACACGAGTTGCACAATGTACAAAGTATTTGTTACAAATAGTTACTCATTGATTTTTGGTTTTGTTGAAGAACAACAGAAGAACAAGAGTGACTCATAGTGAATATTCTACGTCACTGTTCTCGCGATATAGGACACGAACCAATTGGGTAACTCACTCGTCGCCCATTATCTGAACCACATGCGACGCCACATTTGAACGAAACAATCATGGAATCGTTGGTAAGACACCTAAAAAGTAAGAGCATTCGTTTTTTTATGTTTTCCACGTGTCGTTCTTCTTCCAAACCAGTGGATACAAATAGAGAATCGGAGAAAACTTACCCATTTGCTTGATTATCTTCAGCACTTTTTCTGCACTGTGTCTGTTTTCAGCATACATTGTGTACCTTCCTTATTGATTGACAACTGGCGTTTGTTCCATTTATATTTATATTCCGAAGAACTGATCTATGCTCAGCTAATACTCCTGCTCTTAATCATTATGTAATTGATCTCAGTCGGTCTGGATATGTTGCTCTCCTATTGGCATAATGCTTTTTACAGTGCTCTACAACGATTGAACCAATCGGCATTTTTTCGTTTAATGTTTTACTTTTCGATTGTTCTTCTAATAGTAATCGCCGTGATAGTTTATAAATCCTACATTGCACAATTACTTGAACTTCACTGAAGACGTTGGTTAACAAATTATTTCTTAACTAATTATCTAGCAGAACACGCCTATCATGGAGCTTTATTTAAGACGAATCGTGATGACAATCTCGATCAGAAAATATCCGCCAATATTGCATCCTACGTTACTCATACATGTAATTTGACATTTGGTGTGCTCCATGCAATTGCATCATTTGTTTCACACGTGTTTATCTTATGATCTCTATGGTTTCATCTGTAAAGAGCGTCTGCTTTTAACCAAAAGTTGTCCACAAAGCTATTGGTAGTCAATGGGGACTAATACAAGCGTTTCGGATATTTCACATATCACCGACAGTCCTAATATTCAAGTGAGATCCCGCTGTTCTACTGAAGACTTATTAGTAGAAGTTTCACGTAGAGCTTCGTTATTTCTCACAAGATCTTCAAAATTGATATCAGAATTTGTGAACATTTTCTGAGATCGAGCTTTTTCGAGTCACATTGAGATTATTGAAGTCTTGCCAAAAAATGTCGAATGCAAACAAAGTCTAGAAATTCTGTTTACTTATTATCATGGGCGACATTTCGTCTATTTCTTTACTTGAAATTATCCGAATCACTTTACGGATATCTAGCAAATATTAAAGTAAATAGAACAGTAAATCCCTTGTACGCTTGAAAAAGTGAACACGAGTCTTTTGCAATTTGAATTTAACAACAGAAATGAAAGACTATTTTTATGGGATCTCAGCGATGCCTATGAAAAGTTATCGGATTTCAACGACACTTTTAGGGCTTGTAAAGTTCCTTGACGACTAAATAAATTATCAATTTATCTTTGAATATTGATGGAGATCAAGTAACAAAAATGATTTACTAGTCTTAACGCAGTATATTTCAATAAATGTTTCAAAATATCATTGATTACGATCAAAATAATAGCATAGGCACAGTTTTTATTGCCCTCTCTACTGAGAACCTAAAGAAATCAGACTGCATTTTTTTGAGTATTGATGATTTTTCAGAAACTCTTAAAAGTCACATGATTTGAAAATCAGTCTTCCCTACTTCGACTCTCAGACATGGTAGTTCATATCAAATTCTATGCATCTTGGAATATTTAGGCTCCTCTGCCCGTCGAGACTAGGTGATAGCATAATATTAATTACTAGAAGCCATCGACGGTTATCTGTATTTTCCGCCTGCACGATATATAAAGTTACCTGCTGTGTTCCATGTAACTCAGATGCTTTCCAGTAAAAATTCCGCGAAAGAGGGGTGCGAGTATGAGTCGAGCGTGGGGGTGTGAGGTGTGGATATGAGTGGAATGTAGGTGTGTGGGGTGTGGATGTGAGTGTGTTCTTTTCCTGTACACCCGCACCCATACCCTAAAGCGCCCTTTCGAGTACTTGCTTCCTTACCGCTCTTCTAAGGCACTCCTTTATATTCATATGATACATTTAGGTACCCCTTGTTTTTTTTTAAACATTTGGAAACAAAGATTGTAAGAGACAGCTTATTGACGCAGAATAAAACATAAAAAAAAATAAAGTTAGGCATAAAATATTGCAAAAATGTCAAAACAACAATGAATTTAAGAAAGGATTCGGCTATCTTTCCATGGAATATGTTTTCGAAGCCAGCTGATTTGATTACCGCTCATATCCAGCTTGATTAGTGTCTGCATATATAGAAGATACATATGCAATAGGTAAAGACAGAAACAGAAGAATCACTTTATTGCTTCGCAGTACATCATCGAAATGTATTGCACCACTGTTAGTAATATAATTCAAAGTCAGATCTAGTACTCTCAGTGTCTGTATGTAGAGTATATGGTGAATATCAAAAAACAAAATTACGAAAGATTTGAAATTACTGTGTTATTTCTTAAGGCATCAGCGAGATATTGTGCCCCATCGTCTCGGATCCGGCAGTTCCAAAGATCCAGCATGACAAGTGTCTACTTGTAAAGAAGAATATGGATAGGTAAGAGGCGTTGGCAAAATGAATGCTACGTTATTGTTTCGTAAGGTATCCGCAAAATGTTGTGCCCCTATGTCTCCGATATCATTGTTGCCAATATTCAGTTTGGTGAGTGTCTGAGTTCGAAAAAGAAGGTGATCATACGATAGATAAAGAGAGAATGAGAATCACCGTGTTGCTTTGTAATGCAACAGCGATATATTGCGCTCCATCAGCTCCTATTTTGTTTGAAGAAACATTCAGAGTGGTAAGTGTCTGTATGTAGAAGAAAAGATAGATATGAGCAAGGCGAAGAAAAAATGACAGTCACTGTGTTCTTAAGTAAGACATCAGCAATACGTAATGCTCCACTCGTTCCAATGTGATTCCCATTGATTTCCAGTTTGGTGAGTGTCTGTGTGTATAGCAGAGGGTAGATACGAGAAAAATGATAAGAGAGTAAAAATTACCTTATTTTTCATTAAGACTAGAACGAGATATTTCGTTCCAACATCGTTGATCGAATTGAAACTAAGGATCAATGTGGTGAGTGTCTGTATGGTGAGGATAAGATCAATATGAAAAAGATGCAGAGAGACTAATAGTCACCGTATTCTGGGATAAGGCATCAGCCAGATATCGTGCTCCTTTGAGTCCGATTTGATTCGTACTAACGTCCAATGTAATGAGTGTCTGTACACAAGCGAAGATGCAT